GCCCCCCCCCCCCCCCATCCCCCTTCTCACGCAAACAGAGAGGAGGAATAGAGAGAGAAATATCTGTAGCAAAGGTTTGGGCCTGGCTCAGGGGCTCAGAGGTGAAGCAATTCATTAAATCGCATTTATAAAATGGTTACTAAAGGACATCCAGACATGATGCTATTTATACCCCTAGGTTTGGGCTGGGAAAGGAAAGCAGAGGGGGAAATTATTGAACCACTTTCAACGTTTCTCAGCTGTGAGAAATTCGCTAGAGGAAGATCACATATTATTTGGGGGGGAAAAATTAGCCCCTACAGCTAAGCAGGCTGGATGCAGTGTCAGGATACTAGCTACTAAGTGGAATTTCAGAAGCCACCTGTCCCTCTCTCCCCAGGAAACTGCTTCCTACAGGAGACCTTACCTGCCAGGCCCTCTGTCTTACTCTGCCCACGGCTTGTTCTTGGTAGGTGAGAGCTTCCGCCCCACAGTCCCTCTTTGCCACCCATTTCATCCCCTCCCCCTCCCCCTTCCATTTGTCCCCTAAGATCTTGTCTCCCCCAACCTACCATCCCTCCCCAACACACACTTCCTCCTCACCTGGATGTTCCTTTTGATGATGTCCCTAGTCAGCTGTACCTTGCCTGTGCTGGGGTCCACCCCAGCCAGTGGCACCATGACCTCCCCAATGACGTCGTCCCGAGAGAAGCGGTCAAAGCTGAGAACTAGGAAGTGCAGCACCAGGTCCTGGAGCTGGCTGTAGGGGATGCCGTAGAAGGTGAAGGTCTCGTCAAACACAGGGTCCAGGGTCTTCCGCAGCACTCTGGTCTTCACCCGGTGCCTCTTGTCAGGAAGGATGGTCATTTTGATGTAGGGGTCAGAGCCCTGGGTCTGGTCATCCATCACGGGCAGCCCATGGGCCTCCTGGATTGTCACCACCAGGGCTTTTTTGGGGAAGTTATAGTCCACCGAGAAGGTGAGGGACCCCAGCATGACGTCCTCCTCTGGAGATGATGGAGAACTCGTTTTGCTCTCCCCGGGGGTTAGGCTTGCAATGGGGCTCCTCAGTTCTTCCCCATAGTCCACTTTGATGGGTAATTGGCCAAGACAAGATCCAGAACTGGGGGGCCTGGGACCCTTGTCTCGGCCCAGCAGGCCAGCCTCTGCTGCACCCACCGACAGGTTCCCGTGTCCACCTTCCCTCCCAGGGCCATCTTTGTCTCTTCGCACTTTGATAATTTTATTTTTGTTGCTGAGGGTCTCTGGGTATATGCTGATGCCTTTGAGCATATGAATAAACTTGTATGGTGGGTTCTTGTGCTTCTTCTCTGTCTGCTGGTGGCAGCATGTCCAGACAAAGACGGTCACCGAGACACACACCACCAGTACAGAGGCCCCGATAAGGCCTGCCACCACCGGTGACATATCTGAAGGTGGAGAACAGAGATGCGTTAAGGCAGGTGGAC